GCCGTAGATGCGGTCGCGCCACATGAACAGCCAAGTCTCGGCGCGGAGATACCAGGACAGGCGCAGCAGCGTCGGCCGCAGCACCTTGTAAAGCCGGGCGACCAGGGCGGTCGCGATGACCTTGCCGAGACCGATCGAGAGCGCCGCGAGGACGAACTTGCCGTGCATGGCGAACCAGACCGCCGCCAGCTTCACCGGCAGGACAAGCGTCGACGGCGCGATGAAGGCGATGAGCGCGGCCCAGGGCGGAAGCTGCGCCAGCCAGGTCTCGAGGCGGGCGATCCACGGCAGCCGGGCGATGGCGGCCATCGCGATACCCAGATAGTGGAGCAGCACCTCCTCGAAGAACACGATCGCCGCGGCGATCGGCACGAACAGGAGTTCGAGGGCGCGTTTCAGGTGGCGTTTCATCGGCCTGCAAACTAGAGAGCGGATACTGGCTTTTCGGTGGCTGACATGTTCACACGACGAACGCTTTCCAAATTCCTCGCCTCTGTGTCGCTGGCGCCTGCTTCGGCATTGTCGCAGGGCCGCCCGCCCCTGTCGCGCATCGCCTTCGGTTCGTGCGCGAACCAGACCATGGCGCAGCCGATCTGGGAGCCGATCCTCGCCTACCGGCCCGATCTCTTCATCTTCGCCGGCGACAATGTCTACGGCGACTTCAGCGGGTCCGATGCAGCCAATCTGAAGCGTGCTTATGACGGGGCCCGGCAGATTGCGGGCTATGCGCGGCTGCGCGACACGGCGAACCATCTCGCCGTCTGGGACGACCATGATTACGGCCTGAACGACGGCGGCGTCGAGTTCGCGCACAAGGCCGTGTCGAAGGACCTGTTCCTCGACTTCTGGAACGTCCCGGCGACCGACATCCGCCGCCAGCGTGACGGCATCTACGACTCACGCATCATCGGCCCTGAGGGCATGCGGGTTCAGGTGATCCTGCTGGACGTGCGCTGGTTCCGCTCCGCGCTCAAAGTCACCGACCAGCGCGGCGCGCCGGGCAAGGAGCGCTACGTTCCCGATCCCGATCCGAACAAGACGATGCTGGGCGCCGAACAGTGGGCGTGGCTGGCGACGGAACTGCGCAAGCCCGCCGAAGTCCGCCTGATCGTGTCGAGCACGCAGATCCTGGCCGAGGGCCATGGCTGGGAGCGCTGGGGCAACTTCCCGCTCGAGAAGCAGAAGCTGTTCGACACGATCCGCTCGAGCGGCGCCAAGGGCGTCGTGCTGCTGTCGGGCGACCGGCACATCGGCGCCCTCTATCGCGAGGCGCCGGCGGATCTCTTCCCGCTGTACGAGGCGACGTCGAGCGGCCTCAACATGGTCTATTGGGCGGCCAAGGAGGCCGGTCCCAACCGTCTCGGCGCGATCTATGCAGCTGCGAATTTCGGCGTCGTGGAGATCGACTGGTGGGAGCGAAAGATCCTGCTGGCGCTGCGCGACGAAGGCGGCAGCGTGCGGCGCTCCGTGGAAATCCCCTTCGACGCGCTGGGCATTGCCACCTGAATGCCCAGATTGATTCGAGGGATGGGTCGTCGAAGGAGCGCGTAGCCAGGACAAGGCGGTATCGACCGCCGATCCTGCTCAAGGAAGCTTCATGCCATCGGTGAAAACCGTCACCTCGCTCTCGCTTCTCTCGCTCGCCCTCAGCGCCTCCACGGTCTTCGCGCAAGACCGCACGCCCCCTCCCTCCTCTTCTTCACAGCCGTCGTCGACGGACGACAGC